TGAGCTCCAAAGTTTTTCTGAAGTCCAACAGTTTAATGTACAGACAGATGTACAGACAGTATCATCCAGTGTCCTGCTTCTATTGCTGTCTCTTCCTCTTAAGGACAGAGACCAGATGGTATCTCTGACCTTGTTACTTATCAAAGACACAGGACAGCTGCATGAAACTCCCAGAGCTAAGAAATTAACCAAATCAAGCGTTTCTTAAAAGGATAGTACTGTGTCTCCACTGATTACAGTAATGGCAGATTTGCAAGAGAACCATTGTTGTTACTAAAATAAAATTGTACGACCCTAGTCAGGCCTTTATGTCAAACTAGAATAGAATTGAGTCGAATTCCACACACTCCCCTAAATATGCCTTATTTTTCATCAAGATCCATGAAAATCAAAAAAGAAGAAAAAAACTAAATTCCTGGATCTGCACAAAAGTTAAGTCTGTTCTTCTGTGACCCGTCCTGCATCCTTCCACCAAAGACAGATCAGGTGTAAATGTGTGTCATGACTGACAGAACACACTGAAACTGATTAGCCTCTGTGATTTCAAAGGAAAACCATGAGATGGATGCATAACCCTCGTTTTAGGTTTTGTCATTAGTCATCTTGAATTAGATGGAATGAGGGTTTATATTAAACAGGCACCAATTTCAAACTCAACTAAATTATATTTCATGAGGGGCAATAGGAAATCGAGGCACTGGAGAGAGAACATATTCCATCTTCATTATCTTCTCCTCCTGTCACCCACAAATTAGATTTTGATAAATCTGATCACAATTGTCAGCCTCATGGTGGCGCTAGAGGAAAAGTTGTTGGATCATAAAAGTCAAAGGGATTCATCCTCTGTGGACCATGAATGTCTCAACAAAATTTAACGGCAATCAATTGAACAAAGTGGTGGATCCATAAAAACAGATGCAGTGATGCAGTTTTTTAGGTCTTTTATATTTCACAGTTTGCAGTTCACACTACAGGCTTTTTCATTAAGTATCCCCTCTGTGAACAGAGATAAGAGAATAAAACACAAATGTTTTTGATTCAATCTTTCTGTGCACATATCCGCTGCTCTGGATGTGGCTCGGTACTTGGATGTTGAACAGCCAAAGAACTCATGTGGTCATGTTTTTTTTCCAGCCCCCCTCCGCCCCAATCCTGAGACACCAGAGGGCATGCTGCTTCCTGCCACTTCCTGTTCATCAGCTTTCTCCACTGGCTGCCCACCAGGCTGCTTCTATACAGACTGATGCTAGTGACACACCGATCGCCCTCCCGTGCTCTCAGCTCTGCACCTAGCAGATATGCTCCGAGCACAAACGCACATGAAGAATACATCCATTTGTAACATGGTGGCATTCAAAGCATGTGTCGTGCAACAGTCCTCCTGTGATGTGTAATTTGTCACAAGTGTTGCACAATAACAAAGCTTCCTGTCCAGGCCACATGCACACTGCTGTGACAGTAACAGAGCCGCCTTACGACCTTAAAAAAACAAATTACACTTGTGTTGTTTCAATCACAGCGAATTGATGATCAGGCAACAGTGTTTATGTGTGTGTGTGTGNTGTGTGTGTGTGTGTGTGTGTGTGTGTGTGTGCATGCTCGGCTCCATATCTGCTGTGTTAAACAAACAAGCACACAGCCAGTGACAGAATCCAGCTTCTGTCACGTGCGAAGCTGCATGAGCGCCGTAGTGGTCAGCAGCACAAGAAAATATCAAACTTGCATGCATGAGTGAGGTCGATGGACCACTCGTGCATGGAGAGTCCCATCGTGTGCACTTGTCACAGTCACACATGCAGAAAATATTGGAACAAATTGGGAAAAGGAAAACTTGCATTAAAATGCATTTGTTCTACAGCACAAAAACAATTGACATATCCATATCCTCAAATTCACTTAAGGAGAAGGGGCAAACACAGGAGGGAGATATACGCTGAATAATTGACATGGACAGATATGAATAAAAATTGGATGCATTGGTTCATTGGGGCATTGCTGTGCTCACCCTGGCATAGTTTTTGTAAAAGTGCTCAGCCTTAGGGAGGACAGATCTGTGTGGGAGGAGGAGGAGGAGGAGGTGTGTAAGTTTGTTTCCTCGGCCTCTTCTTCAGCAAAGCAGGATAAGTGGTGCATTTCCCTTGAAATCGTCCCGTTACAGTCTCTGTCCAGCTGCATGGCATCAAAGAATATTTCCTCTGTTCACCCAGGTTTTTAGTGAGCAACGACAATATATTTACCTCACGCAGCTTAATGTTTTCATGCATCGCAAAATGCCATTCAAATTGAATTTAACCTGGAACTACACTATTTAAGCAGCCAGTTATCTTGGCATGCAGGGATGGAAGTTGGAAGCAGTATGTCGCCACAGTAAAACTGTCAAGGGGACAATCTGCAGTGTGGAGACACTAACAACAATAAAAAAACATACATCAGTCTTTCTGCATTGCAGCAAAACTGAGAGGACTAAAAAAACGTTGCCACAATAATCTGGCAAAACTGCTGTAAGAACAAGTAATTGTGAAAAGGAGCGAGAGCGAGTGTAACAGGCTGATCATGCGAATATTGACTCAACAGCCCTTCAATCACTGTTTTGTCGATGCTAATGCTTTAAACTGTTGTGGTTTTTTGGGCTAAAAAGGAAACAGTGAATATGTAATTTGGAACATTTGCAAATGCAAATGCTTGGAATAAGTATTTGTTTATGATATATCTATAAAAGTGATGCTCATAACAAGCTTTTATAGTATCGCTCTGCACAGTGGAAACCAGAAATCCAATTAAATCCAGAAATCCAAGTAGAGTAACAACAAGAAAAAGGCAGCGGGCGACACCACATGAGTCAGTGGAGACATTTTCAGGAAAATAACTCTCCTGTAGATTTGAATTCAGTTGAGTTGAATATGATGTCACATGACATGAATTCTGTTATCCAATGCTGTTGAATCAAGCTGTTTGATTGATTTGATATAAATTGCAAAATATCAATTAAACATGATCATTTTACATCGTATTCCATTATGTTATATAACGACCAAACCCAGATCTGAGGAGACAACATACAACAATCTGAAGCACTAGAGTCAGAGGCCATAAAATCTCATCTGGAACAAACCTGACTGAAGAGGTGGCCACGGGGCAGAGGTGAAGTGTGTGTAGGTTAGCAGTATCTCCAAGTGATCCTGAACACACATCCAGCCAGGGTTAAGTAACCCATCTCACCACAGCTGACCACTGCCCTGACAGAGACACACGGGTCCTAATTTAACCCACTTGTGCCCTTCGGTCCCAGAGGAAATGGACTGTGTCTCTCAGGAAACCAGCCCATTACAGAGGAGGGGGCCTGGGAGGGAGAAGAAGGGCCACGACACAGCGGGACGCCCTCCAGCCAACAGTAGCAGGAGAGGCAGAGGTGAGGGACTCGGGGAAAATCAACCTACTTTGATAAATCCTCTACTTCTCCTCTAACATGTAAAAATAAATCTAAATATGTATTATGTTAAAGGTTCAGCGTGTAGAATTAAGGGACATCTAGTGGTGAAGTTGCATATTGCAGCTGAATACCTCTTACCTCACCCTTCCCTTCCAAATATGAAAGAGAACCTGTGGTAGCCTTGTGTTGTCATAAAAGTGTTCATTTTGTCCATTTTGTGCTACTGTAAAAAACATAGTGACTTCTGTAGAGAGGACCCACTCCTGATATAAACATAAAGTATTTAAATATAAAGGGCCTTTCTGGGGTAAATTAAACAATGGCCCTTACAACTTAGATGAAACACGTGAAAACATCACTAGGATTGTTTTATCTTAAATTTTTGCCAATAGATCCCTTTCACCTAAATCGTATACACTGGACCTTTAAGTCTCATGTTTGTCCTAACACAGCAAGATACACTCCTAGTGTTCCATGAATATAATGAATCTGACTTACACTGGTTATCAGTGGTGGAATGTAACAAAGTACATTTACTTTGTTGCTGTACTGAAGTGCATTTATCATGTACTGTACATTACTTACGTTTTTATTTTCATGTACTTCTCACTTTTACTCCAACACAGATCCGCTAAAATCTCTACATTCTAGTCTTTTTACAAGTCATCGCGTAACATTTTCACATTGTTTTTAGACACATTTGTCAAATCTTTAACAAATGTATTGTTTGATTTTTGTGTGTGAATTTGGTTTAATCCCCTCTTTCCATTTTTATTCTTTCTGTTGAGTGCATTGTAACTTTGTTCAGAAAAGAGCCTAATAAATAAAGTTTATTATTATAATTACTTGTGTTGAAAGATTATACTGAAAGAGTCAGGAGCAGAGTGACAGTTTCTCCTCAGAACTGTACCTCCATCTAGTGGTCACAAGGTGCAAACCTCTTACACCCCAATAGAACCAATATCTGAGGACAAACACCAGCTAGAGAAGGTTACAGTATAATAAGTGGACAGATCACATTATTCATGCAGTGGGCCAAACAATACATTCTCAGTCCTCCGTCCACTCATCCACACAAACACTCGGACACCACCTACTCTTTGGCTTGTGCTCAGCTCGACTCATCAAAGTTTTCACATTCCACAGTTTGTCTCCAACAAGAGCAGAATAGAATGTACGGTGATCAGTGCTGCCTTTAAGTGACTGATCGACTCTTACAGATCTGATCTACAATCAATGGCTTTAACAATGTTATATTATTTTATTTTAGTAAAATTAGTAAAACATGTATATACTGTATGCTCTCTCTCTGAATGCCATGTAAGTTGGATTTTGGTGTTTGCTCATTATTGTCAGCTTCATTCAGACTAACTTTTTGTCTGTTTTTTTAAATCCAGAAAATAAATGTTCAGTTTGATGAAATGTGTATACCTTTTGTAAGGTGTCTGGTCTTCTGTCCTCTGAAGGAACAAACCACATCAGTGATATGAGCGTGAATCTCACCAGCTGCTGTGTAGACAGAGATATCCTGCAGTCTGAATTTAAAGATGAAGCAAATAGAGGCGCTCACCTGCCACAAAGACCTGAACTCCCTCTGTTCAATACGCAGGAGCTCACTGAATTCCCGTGTCACTATGGTGGCATGTCGGGGGGTTTTATCCAGAACAGACTCTCCAAACGCCGTGCCGGTCCCCAGTGTGCATATAATAACAGCATCCTATAACAGAAACAGAGGTAGTTCCCTGCATGGGTCATTGCTTCATTACAGGAAAGCATGCAGCCACACAAGAACTATGCAAATGTAATGTCAGTACTCTTCTAAAGATAATGCTTTGTGCTTTACACTTGAGAAACAGTGGTCTACTCTCAAAGGGTTAGAGGCAATCACCTGAGCACTTATGGTAGACAGACACATGCACTCCAATCTGCCCTCATATTACTCCAATCAGCCTCCAGACAAACTGGGGTGCATGAAGTCGTATAGTATTGAAAAATATTCAGCAATGTCCCTCAAACTAAAGTGTTAAATGTTCTTTACAGCCCACGTACACTCCAAACAAGCTTGGATGTGGATTCCTTTGCATGCGTGATGAATTTCAAGTGAGGCTTTACTGATAAAGTAACTCATCTTCACAGAGAGATGGACAGAGATGTTGTAAATAAGGCAAAGGGATTTTTTAAATTAAAGATATTTTAAAAAATATGTGAGGATTCCTGGTATGCTGTATGTGACATTCTTATAGGTCTACCTTAATATCCCATGTATTGTTTTACCATATTTCATTTACAACCAAGGTGTCGTGTGTGATCTTATCAGTCGTACCTGATGACGTGATGTCTCAGAGACTTTAACGTCCAGCGAACCAGAGAGGACAGCATACCAGCTGGTGCCAATGTCTCCTTGGCGATACACTGAAAAAATGCAGCACGGTTTGAATAGATCAACCTTTTTTAATGACCTATTTTGTTGTTTCAGAGCTCGTGTCTGGACGTACATGTGATGCCTTTCTCCAAACACTCGTAGAATCCACACAGGCAAATCTGCTGCAGCAAACCGGGGTGGAATCTCTCGAAGGCCTTTGCATATTTCAGACGTGCAAGGATGATATCAACATCTGCTCCAGAGCGCTCTGCTGGTCTGGAGACATACAGAGAAAATGATCATTCAAAAGGAACTGCGCTTATAAATGTACATGACGCACCTAAATAGGCTGCAGCCCAAGCAGCATAGTTTCATCTCTGTAGGAGGGATGTGACACCAGTTAATTCCTGCACAGCAGACATATTCTGTTTCATATAAACTCTATATGTTATAATTCAGCCTCACACAGTGGCAGCATCCTGGGCTGCTACAGTCTGATCCAGTATTCAAGTTTTCATCATCATCATCATCGTCACCATCATCAAATCAAATATAGAACTAGACAATCATGTGTAGGATGTGTTAGACTCTAGTGATGGATTATTAAAATGTAGACAGCTTCTACTAGTCTGAAATTTGTCATTACAACAACTCTGAGGTGACACGACTGTGGAACAATCACTAGTGTCCTCATACATATGTTCAATTTGTCCCAATTCTAAAGGGTCTGATGATAGAAATAAAAACTGTATCTCAGTGTTTTGTAGTAAATAAAAACATTTTGACAGATGATTTTAGAGTTACAGAAATACTTGAAGTTTAATTTAGAAGTAAGTTGTTTCTATTTTTTTGGTGCTTTTACAATGACAGAAACAAACTGTAGCAGAAAATGCTGACCCTATTCACATCACCACAGGCGTGTCATCGTGTGCTTTATCCCCGTAACCCTCGTGTTTCTTGCGTTACAGCGCCACACATTTGTTACACTAAATCCAGAAGCTCTGATGTAACATGTGGGTGGTTTTACAGTAGCATACAAACACTTCTGAATCCATGTTGTCCCTTTAAAAAGTGAAATACAACTGTATTAATAATTTAGAGAGGGGAAAGAAAGCTTTGCTTCAGCCCTGCAACAATTTCCGGGCTCTCTAAAAACAATTCATCGTGCTAATATTTCCGCTCTGTCGTGGTACAATAAAAGTGTTTGAGCAACATTATCTCCATTCTGTGCACTTCCTGATAAGATGCTATGATCACATGTAACATGGGAGTTGCCCTTGTCTACTCTAAATTGTTTTTGTGCAGGAAAGGGACAGATTTACTGTATTATTCCTACAAAGTGTTCTGTGGCAGAGTGAGCACAACAAGACGGAGCAGAGAGATGTGTGGGAGCCTGAGTTTCAGATATGAAGCCAAGATGTCTATTTGGACACAAGTCAACAACAAAAAAACACTTTCAAAAAAACACTGAAACAAGTGAAAACAGGATGTATTCGGGATGAGGCAGCTTTTTCAGTATTTATGAAATATAAACAACACAAACCTAATTTGAAAACTACTTTGAAGTTAAAGTCCAGCTGTGAGATGCAGAAGGTTTGTATATCTCTGAATCTACTGAGTTCTTTATCGAACTGATTAAAACGGGTCATTGTGTTGTTTTATCTTCTGTAGAAATGCAATTAAGTTCAGTAAGTGACCTTGTTTTGGCAACATTCACGTTCATCAACCTCTGCAACATTTAATTAAACAGAATCATAAGGTGAACACCCGGGTGGAGCACACAGGCTATTTGCTGGCCTATTACTAACCAGAGGATATTACTGTGTAAACATGTCTTGCACACTGCGTCACGTGGCTGTTTATAGATGATGTACTTTGAACCTCTGTTTGTGATGCGCCCCTCGTTCTGCCCCTTTCATACCGTGTATCTCATCTGAGCTGTGACCAGCCTCTCATTGTGAGTGTAAAGTGTAAAACCTCATTATCTTGAACACAGTATACACACATATTGCAGTTTTTTGCGATAAATTGCAGATATTTACATTACAGCTGTGCGACACATCTTTCAGTGGTGATGCAGGTGTTCATAGCTCTTGTCATCAAAATTAGGTCACATCACTAAAGCGCTTCCTGCTTTAACACAGGACAGGTGTGCATACAGCAGTTCTTTTTTCAGGCCAAGATTTCCACAGTGATTTGTTGCTGAATTTAGTCTGAGGGTAAATTGTAAATAAACAGGCCTCTAGACTCCAAAGCATATTCCATGATGATAATGATGAGGCATCCACATGCTATTTATAACATCTTAACAGCTGATTGTCATCAAATATGGTCTTATAATTCTTATGAAACATTCAAATCTGTACAGCACTGCAATCTATTTATTTTCACAACCTCCAAAAATCTACACCTCAGAGACAGCATCCACACAAGCTGCAGGGCTGTTCAATGTTGTATTGAACTTTTACACTGTGCACAATGCAGCAAAGAAGTGGCAGCTTGGTGTATGTATATTATCCAGTCCACAGAATCAGTGCAGCTCATATTCAGCTTATTGCAAAGAGATCATAAGGGAAATGTGTTGACATATCTTTTTGAAAATTATACTCCAGAATAATACTCTTTGTAATTCACACTTTAGATGTAGAGTACTGGGTACAAAATACAATGACTTTTCAGCTTCATAAACCATCACAGTATTTGTCCTGGATATTAGCAATAATCAAAATTATAATTTAGTTAGTAAAACCACATATAGGAGTCAAATATGGATGTAGTCAATGCAAATAAACTTTTAACAGCACATCAAACCCCATACCTGAAATTTCGTTGTGTCAATGCTGTGATTATTGTCCCCAGAGCTACAGTTTGTGCAAACTAATTTTGATTTAAACCCTCAGCCAGCAGTAAGGTAATGACAAACAAATGAACTCATAATATAAATGTATAACCTGACACCTGAGGCTTTCATGAATGATTCAATCACTGAGTCTCAATCCCACTGGGAAATTAAAACTACAGAGTCGATGTTTTCATTCAGCTTTTGAAGCACGACGCCCAAAATCTGCTGAAAAATTCCCTTCATTCAGTTCATCTGTTATTATTTGGGGAAATAAAGACACTGACATCATATTTAAATGAATTACCTCTTATCCAGACAAATAATCCACTCAGCAGATTCCGACGAATGTGAAGAAGTGTGCGCTGCTACCATCTTGCGATTCTCCTGCTGCTGCAGCTGCTATTGCTTCTGCGGAGGAGGAGGATGAGGAGGAGGAGGAGGAGGAGGAGAGGGCTGGAACACTTCATCTGCCTCCAAACACTCACTCACTCATTCCTCACAGGCAAATAGTCTCTGCTGCTGCTCACCTGTCCAGCATCAGCAGCATCTAAATGAGTTAGAGGGGGAGAGCTGTAAAGTAGTGAAGAGTATTTTAATTGAGCATTTATATTGTATGGTCCCTACTGCAGACAGAGTATTATATATATTTATATACTGTATGTAGAGAGGTCATTTTCACACAATACACACTCAGTTGCCATTGCTTCCATTAATGTAATGTTTCTAACAGTTTTATAGAGCTGTTAATTTAACTTAATGGTCAATTTACAAGCTGCATTGTGCTGTGATGACATCCACACTACGTGAGTGAGGACAGATTAAATATTACAAACACTTTTCATGATCATTTCATGAAGGTATGGACGAATAGGCTCATGATAGCAGTGTGACTTCGATATTATTTGTGAGTATGAATATTTCACTTTGATGTAGAATTCTCTCCCTTTTAAACAACATAAGTTATAAAACAATAGCAGTGATTTTTAACAGTTCATCTCAAACATTGGAAACAGCCCACACATTGCAGCAGCTCGTACCAGCTGATTTCTTTGCTCCGCTTTTGTCCCTACCTAAAACTTTCTCACCCACACAGATCACTGATCTTAAAAACGAGGCTCTGAAGTGGAATTTGTCCAAACAAATATATTGTTTGTGGATTTTTCTCACTGTAGTATCGCTGTGATTCTGTGAAATATCATATTCAGAGGTATAATTATGGCAGTAAGATATATTATACTTTCAGATGACACTTCAAACAAGTACCAGAATGGGAAACCAATTAGCAAGGAAATTGGTTAGTGAGTCAAATGAAAGAATGTAGTGTAATTATCATTGAAGGATGAATATTGAAATTGTAGATTTGAAGGTGCATGTGTGCACCGATGGCCATAAAGCAACAGTGGCTGCCTGATTTTAGAGCATAGAGCATAGGACTGACAGAAGGCTTGGTGGTAACATTGAACGTTGCCTAACCCTATTATCATCATGACCTCGAATGAACATAAGCATGCAAGGAGTCAAGAAGGTAAAAACAAACCTGCACATCATTTCTTCAGTGTCTATAATTAAATGGCTGACAGCAACCGCCTCCATTGTATAGGGACTGCTGGCGTGTCTCCTATCAAAGTGGGAGCTGTTCTATAATGGCCTTGAGAAATTGATGCTTTGTAACAAGAGGCCACATACTGAAAGGGTCATTGGTCTCCCTTAGTTGCCGTGGCAACAGGGACAGAAGTGCAGAGACTCTGTGGTGCAGCCGCACAAAGCCGTCTGTGCATTCTGTCTGTTCTCATACTTTTTTTGTTGTGGGCTAAGGAGTTATTTTTCCCATTGTTACATAGTCAGTGAGAAAAGACTGCAGAGTTGAAGAATAAAACACAGACAGACTGTTATGATTGAGATAATTACCCATGTACCATGTAGGACTAGAGGAGAGTTTCCACTGTTTACAGATAAGATTCAACCCAAGTAGAATTTTGCCTTTTATTAGAAAGTTTGACTTTAGACCCAAGCAACAGTTTTTTGACTAATCACAAAAATAATTGGAATGTTTCAACAAAATTAAAAAGACAATAATCATTTTGCCTATCTGATAATTATTGAAATCATTTGATCATATGTTACATATTATTAATAAACTATACACTATACCACATATCATAGATTGAATCATGAATACACAACTATTCAACTATTCATTTTGATTGTTATTCATTCAGTTTTATTTTGTTTCATTTGGGGGTGTTAGTAAATGAGACATTTTTGGAGCTAATATTTGACAGCGTCCGCTTCTATCTGACACAAGATGGCAGCATCCTCTTTGTACAATGTAATCAGACCAGACATATGGGGTTCAGAGAGAAAAGGCTTTATCTTGGGTATCAAACAATGATTTGGAACTTTATAAAAAGGTCTAAAACATTTAGGGTTGTTTAGCATCATGTATCACAAAATAATATTGAATGTTTTTGATATAATAACGTTATTAACTGGATCCTGCTTTAAACCAGGATTATATCCTCAAACAATTATCTCCATAAAAAAAAAGTGCTTACACAAGGTGCATGTGCCCAGTCCAGCCCCCCACCCTCGCCTCTGACTTATGTAAATAGTAGAGATGCGAGGCTTAGCTCAGGCTGGGGCATGCACAACACTAGAACACGCATTCCTGTAATGCTGCATACCACCAAGTCACAGCAGCAACAGCAGACCAACACACAACGTGTGGAAACGTCAACATGCACCACAGCACTACGTTTCCACAAAACCTTTGTTACTGCTTCACTCAAGCTGGCAGGTCACAAACCACTGCAACATGTTTCAGTCCCAAACTAAATCACACATTGGGGAAAGTGTCTTTCTTAAGAAAATGTATAGACGATAATCAGGTTTTAGGTAAATGTGCAAATTACATTATATACACCCTGAAAATGTTTTAAAACCCTGACATGTGTGCAGAAAAACTGTATGGCAGTATTTAAACATCATAGAGTATTTCAGGTCCAGGTGGAGCAGCGGTTCTGTGCTAAATGTTGTGTCTCACAGGAGTGAGTCTCAAACATCATCTCAAAGATTCCACTGGCCCCTCAGACCAGATGTCTTCATGGGCTCCTGTTTTCATTTGGTGTGTCTTGTTCATTCGATGATGTTTAAAGGGTTACTAGGGACGACTGGCTTGGTTGCTGTGTGCCATGTTGCTCCCTGGAGAAAGACCACTTACTGTGTATGTACAGTACAGCTCTTTAGACCCGCAGTTGCTAGGAGAGGATCCAGGAAGCCATGAAATGAAGCGTGTGTAAACACACTGACACATGCAAACCCTATGTGCACACACTGCATTATATCAGATGGTGATGAGCTTTTGCAGAGATGTTGTTAATGCTGAACTGAGCCTTAAAACACTGAATCAAACTTCTCTTCAATTAATTTCTTTTTTGTCAGATAATTTTCAGACTTAACATTTGTTTTCACAATTTTGATTCTTACTCTAGAGAGTTAAGAAAGTTTGATTTCACACAGTGAAGGAAATTGTTGTTTAAAACTCTGTGATCCGTAATTACACTGTTCAGACTCACAACCTCATGGCGCCCAAATGTTGGACCTCTGACCAGCATAAAACAAATCAAGACGGAGGAATGAATGGAACCACATAATGTGCAGTGTAAACTAACAAGAACTCACATAAACTATGTACGTGTGTGAGCGGTTGTAAAGAAGCCGCATAAAATATATCAAACATATCAGATAACTGTGTCTCAGATGGAATGTGAGGGCAGATAACTCCAGAGGAAATGCCTGAGGACTGGACCTTTCCCAAGACATCTCTCTGACATCTCTCAAAAATATTAACTCACAACTTTGATTTGATGGGAAGGTCCGTCAGAATGTCAAGCTATTTACACCATGTGTTTTTTTAATGACCTTTTGAAGATGAAGTGCAAAAAAAGTGTTGCTCTCTGGGAGAAGAAAGGAGGGTTGAATATTTCATGTTTAGCACAATTAAAAATGTAGATGGGATTACACTTTAGGCAACCAATTAAAAAAAATGACCACGCCTGGTAAATAGATCACCATCTGCTTAAGCCTCTTGGTGCAGTCTAGTTTATATTTATCAATAATTACTGCCCTCTTCTTGCATAACGCTCCTCATATTTAGTTGCATGTAATATATATCGACATGTTTTGAGATCTCATCAAACATAACAACATTCACTCTTAAAGGATGGAAAATATCTTTTAAACATATGTATGTGTGTTATTTAAAATTTGCATCATCATCATCATCTTGTAAGAAAGTTCAGGTGATATCCGTACAAGTTGAAGTTGAGTTCACGTATCTCCTTCCACTTGTTCTAGCTCCTGTTTCCTGGGATTGGATGGTATTTTTGCAATCTAGGTTCTCAGCCACAGAGGAAATCTGACTATGTCTCTCATTCAGAATGTTTGAGGCTGATCTCGGTGAAAACAGATGTAATGTGATGGATCACCTTTGAGTTAAATTGCATGAGTGTTGCTGTCAGGGGAAGGAACCTGATTTTACATATGAATAGGAAACAAAAAACAGAAGGTATTGCACTGTATTTTGAGAGTTTTAATCCTGATACGTTGAATCTTTTACAGTTCTGTGGAATCGCTCCAACAGATTATGTCGGCATATTTTATAAAAACAAGAATGTCGAAAAACACCTTGTATAGAAACATCTGAAGTATATAGGATATCTGCTGGTGAACTATTTTTACTCAGGCCATATATAGTACACCCTTAGTAGATAAATATGTGAGGGGTTCCTACTATTTAAAGTATTTGTCTTGTCTCTATGTACTACAGAGCTGGAACAAACTCCTAAAGTCAGAAGAGTATGAACTTGACAAGCTCATGTTGTTGTCATACTTGCACTTATGACTCATTTTTTGTTGAATGGTTTTAATCCTTTAATTTGTATCTCAATGATTTATGCCAGTTTTTCATATAAAATGCTGACATGCCTTTGTGTATAATATGTAATACAGACAAGCACAACTTGCATTGTCTTGTCACTGGCTGCACTTTTCCAGCACCTAGGTATGTTTTCAAGAACTATGGGTCCCTTAGGATTGTAGACCTGGGACCATGGATCCTTCCTGCATAGAATCAGTTCTGTTCCACTCAATTTTGATTTGAATGGAGTCCTGGTGCTTCCCAACTGGTATATTTATATTCCTGAATTCAGTCAAATTTGAGCTTTTTGACTTAATTAACTGTATTTTTTCACCTCATCTGTGCAATAGGCCTTTTTTACAGGATCATTTTTTTTCCCGCAGTACAAGTCAAGACAATGTTGACAATGTGACGGTGAGCCAACATTGCACAGTGCCAATTGCGTGAAATTTAA